TGGTGGAAAGATGGTCTGGACCTCCAAGCTGTTCCGGTGCCCTGGTCAGTTGTGTCGTCAATGATAGATGGCCCGGACCATTTGACAATCCTAATCGGTCTTGCAAGCTATATAGAGGCTTGAGAGACAGGCGCGGGGTTTGGACGACGAGATCAAGGCATGGGTCAATGTTGGGCCGGAGCGGCTGTTTAGTACAATGGGTGACAACTTGAGTCAACAGTTTGTAATGGGACTTGTCGGCTCAGACACTCTTGGTGATTGTATCAACTCAATAGGTGACTGTAGATTTCCTATTGGTGAGGTATAGCAATCTGGAGTCGTTCTTCTCAATAAGGAGATTTACAGTCCGGAGCACTCTTGTTTTGTAACTAAAAACAGAATTGAATGAGTCCTGTGTTCTATTGTAAATCCGCTGAGGGGAGAAGAATCGAAAGAATGGATGGTTTTGTGGGTTTTGTGTCTTGTCATATCAAGTACAGATAAATCGTGAGGAAAGCACATTAAATAAGGGGCTCAAGATTTGGTAGTCTCAAAAAAAAGGAATCGCTTCAGGACAAGTGGTAGACTTGAAATAGGTACATAAGATAAAGGGTAAAAAAGAATCTCGGAAAGTTGAGATGTTATCTGCTGGTAATGGTTCTGAGGGAGTTGAACATTCTGGGGAACCAAGTTGATGAATCCTTGAAGAGATTGGTTATTTTAGTAAGAGGTCTTAATTGAAAAAGGATGGTTCGGTACGACTTAAACAAAAGGATGAGGCGGGTTAGGATCAATGAAATGAGTTCCCGGCCAGACCCCCAGTTGTCAGGCTCGGCGATGCCAAGGCAATAGGCCTTCTAGCTACGTCGGCTGATGGGTGGTTTGGGTAAGCAAATGAGAGAGGAAAATACCGAGGGGCCCAGATCTTTGGGGGTTTTTACGGTGCCCTCGGGGATACAAGCCTAGGTCTCATATAAAGACTTGGTAGCGGCTACTACGGGGTCTCGAAGATACTCGAGGGTATTTGGTCCGCGTATCGGAGTGATGGACAGAGGAATAACCAATAAAGGTATTCCCTAGCAACAAATCCTGGCACTTACAGGGTGGATCTGTGGTGCTCTGAGTAGTGGAATGAGGGTTGGAAAAGGAGGCAAACTGGAAAAGGATGGGGAAAATTACTAAGCTGGTAAAACTGATGATTCCTAGCTGCTTTGTTTACTGGTTCTTTTTATACTTTAGGTACCAGTAACCAAAGCTGGAAAGGGAAAGGGGAGTTGACCTCACCGGTCATCTCTGAGAATCTGGGATGATGTATAATTTCCCAGAAGTTTTGACAGGGGAAATCTGCTCATCTCATGCCACAGTCTCCTGTCATGATGTATTTTAATATGTCACTAGTTTCTGTAAAGGACATTTTATGTCATTCTTATTTTTTGTAATATTATTTGATCATTAAATCTATTACTTATTATCTGGAGTTATTTATGGAAATATTGCAGGTCAGCTTGACTCTGTAATAGTAGCAAGCTGACATCTTTTTTGTGGAACAGAAGCCACACAGCCCTTGCTTATTTGAATCGCTTGGGCAGCCACCCACGTGTGAAATTCAGCGGCGGTGTTGTTATCTTGATCCGTGGCAAGCATGCCCATGAATCCATTCCCCATCGGTGTCCCCACTTTTCTGAAGATCGTACTCTTTGGGTGGCGAGAGGCAACCACAAGGAACCCTTCAATTTGATGGAAGAAAGCGAGTGATTGGAACTATATAAGATAGAAGAGTGAGTGATTGGAAAATCTTTGAACCATTAATGAATTTACTTACATCTTTCTCAATTTTACTAACCCAATCAGTCACCAGTGTAAGTGTCTGTTTTTGGGAATACTTTGATGCCTGTATCCTGCCGTTCAATCGGGCTTTTGGGGTTATGGGTGCATGGTGAATGACTCCGGGGTTGAGGACGCCTGTACTAATCTGCGAGGTATCGGTCGTTACTTCGTGCAACGTCTTCAAATAGTCCATATCGCGATATCGAAGCTTTTCTGGCCAGCTCTTTGTCCCCCAAAGCTCGGACACCTTGACACCTCCCATTTCGCGTCCAACTAGACAGTGACAGAAATGTACAGTCAATCAGCTAGCTGGAATAAGCAAATATAGATCGAGCCGCCGGGAACTTACACTCATCAAAAAGCCTTTGGACTGCCGGATCGTATTTCTGAAAGTTGTTCCATGACGTGCCGGCTCTCACCTTTCGATTTTGACCGAGGTGCTTGAAGTAAAGATGAGAAGCAACACGGTTTTGAATTGCAAGCTTGGTGACATTGCACTGGAACTCGTAGTACATCTCGTCGATTTCCTCGCGCATCTCTTCAGTCATGCGTCGATGGATAGCATGAGTATTCGCAGCAACCCGGAGCGCATCAAGTTCGAGAGTAGCAAACTGTTCCATTTGCTCCTTGGTCAACTTGTGCTGATCCGATGTGATAGGCGGGCGGTTTTTGTTCGGAGGATCACCCATCATTGCACGCAAACCGTCTTCGTCCTCTGGAAGGGATGGACTTTGCAAGGTGTTGGGATTGTGACTTACTGAGGCGTTGGCATCAGTATCTTCTGGCTGATTGGTGCGATCAGTATACTGTAAATCAGGGGTGTCGTTTGCGGTATTAGATGCGGGGACTGGGTTGGCAGAGTGTTGGGCTTGGGATGTCGAGTCGGTATTTCCCTGGGAGAACGCTTGGCCTCCGGCAAAACCAGTGTTGATCTGGAATGGTCCTGGGGCTGACATATCCGGATATGATGGGTGATGGTCCTAATATGGGGTTTGATTGGTGACGGCGATAGAAGGCTTGAGGATACGCTGATACAAGGGAATTCTGGGATTGAACTTGAGGAGGATATGTATAGATTTGAGGTGCGAACAAGATGAGGTTTAATAATATCTGATCCAGTGAGGAATGGCCGGTGGTATCAGGTAAGAACGTTCTTGAGAAAAATTTTTAACATGCCCAGGAGGGGCCCACCGCCTGCGCTTGAAAAAAAAAACATGTGCGCAGAAGCAAAAAAAAACATTGTAGGGAAGGGAAAATTGGCAAAAAGGATAATCAAAATCCCACACTACCAATATTTGTACTGCTAAGCATTCCAAAGACAATGTTAAAATTTGATTAACATAATGAGTTGGGAGGGATAAAATTTCCTACAGGTAAATTGCTCACTAGAAGGAAAATACTAGTAGGAAATGCAAGTATGAAGCTTTAGTGTAAGGCTGTAGAATTAGCAGTAATTGGGTTCATAACAATTCAAGCTGTCCAATTATACTTTCAAGTGTGAAGAAGCCGATTATGAAATAATATTTGAGGATTTTCTAGTGTTTACAAAATTATGAGGGTTGAAAGGTGTTGTGGGGGAATTTAACCTGAGTGATACAATGCAAGTAGGAGGCGGTAAAAAGAGTATGATTGGTATGAATATCATTTCAAGCTGTGGGATTGACCTTTCAAGTATGCTGAAACATACTATGAAATAATATTTGAGGAATTGATAGTGGTTTGAAAGTTATGAGGGTTGAAAGGTGGTGTGGGGGAATTTACCACCAGTAGTATATTGATAGTATGTGTCTGTAGAATTAGCAGTAATTGGGTGAATATCATTTCAAGCTGTCCAATTCTACTTTCAAGTATGCTGAACCACACTATGAAATAATATTTGAGGAATTGATAGTGGTTTGAAAGTTATGAGGGTTGAAAGGTGGTGTGGGGGAATTTACCACCAGTAGTATATTGATAGTATGTGTCTGTAGAATTAGCAGTAATTGGGGAAATATCATTTCAAGCTGTGGGATTGACCTTTCAAGTATGCTGAAACATACTATGAAATAATATTTGAGGAATTGATAGTGGTTTGAAAGTTATGAGGGTTGAAAGGTGGTGTGGGGGAATTTACCACCAGTAGTATATTGATAGTATGTGTCTGTAGAATTAGCAGTAATTGGGTGAATATCATTTCAAGCTGTCCAATTCTACTTTCAAGTATGCTGAACCACACTATGAAATAATATTTGAGGAATTGATAGTGGTTTGAAAGTTATGAGGGTTTAAAGGTGGTGTGGGGGAATTTACCACCAGTAGTATATTGATAGTATGTGTGTGCCTCCTGTGTGTGATTGATGATCATTAGTTATCTGGGCTACTAGATGGAATATAGATACATCCTTCC